GCCAAATTCAGCTCCAACTGTGCCTTAGCTTTCCTGATCCCATCCCTACACATCTGGGCAGCATCTCTATATTCTTCCCAGGATACATGTCCCTGCTTCCATTGCCTGTGCATTTCCTTCTTACACTTTAGTTTGACCAGGAGGTCCTTACTCAGCCATGCTGGTCTCCTGCCTGCCTTGCCTGATTTCTTACACATGGGAATTGAGAGCTCTTGTGCTCTAAGAATAATGCCCTTAAAGAGCTGCCAGCTATGTTCTGCTCCCTTATCCCTGAGGGCAGTTTCCCCGCGGGTCCCATCCATTAATTCCTTAAAGAAGTGAAAGTTTGCTCTCCTAAAATTCAGGGTCCTGACTCTACTCTTCACCTGGTCCATATCCCTCAAGACTGTGAATCCCACCAGGGCACGATCACTGCAGCCCAGGCTGCCACCAATCTTGACCTCTCCAATAAGTTCCTCTGCGTTGGTGAGCAACAGGTCTAGTAGTGCTTCTCCTCTGCTTCTCCTCTGGTCAGGCTTTTTATCGCCTGGATTAGAAAGTTATCCTCAGTGCACTCCAAGAGTCTCCTAGACTGCAGCTTTCTGTGCCACTTTTCCAGCAGATGTCATAGTGGTTGAAGTCCCTTAGCAGGATCAGCACCTGCGAGTCCGCAGGGCTGCTCTCAATCCACTCATCACCCAGCCTGGATCCATGTTTAGGATTGCCCCGACCCAGGTGCAGGACCTTGCACATACAGTGGAGAGTGGCTTGGCAAGTACATCAGCCAACTCCCTCAGGACCCTGGGATGCATCTTGTCGGGTCCCATGGACTTATGTATGTTCTGGTTCCTCAGGTGGTCTCAAACTTGGTCTTCTCCTATGGTGGGAGGGACTTCATTCCCCCAGTCCCTGCCTTGAGGTTCAGGGACTCGAGAGATTTGTGAAGAGCAATTGCCAGTGAAAACTGAGGCAAAAAAAGTTGTTGAGTACCTCAGCCTTCTCCATGTTGGTTGTCACCAGATCCCCTATCTCATTTATTGGGGTGGGGGGTACATTTTCTTTTGTCTTCCTTTTCTGACCAACATGCCTGTAGAAGCCCTTTTTATTATTCTTCACATCCCTCGCCAAATTCAGCTCCAACTGTGCCTTAGCTTTCCTGATCCCATCCCTACACATCTGGGCAGCATCTCTATATTCTTCCCAGGATACATGTCCCTGCTTCCATTGCCTGTGCATTTCCTTCTTACACTTTAGTTTGACCAGGAGGTCCTTACTCAGCCATGCTGGTCTCCTGCCTGCCTTGCCTGATTTCTTACACATGGGAATTGAGAGCTCTTGTGCTCTAAGAATAATGCCCTTAAAGAGCTGCCAGCTATGTTCTGCTCCCTTATCCCTGAGGGCAGTTTCCCAGCGGGTCCCATCCATTAATTCCTTAAAGAAGTGAAAGTTTGCTCTCCTAAAATTCAGGGTCCTGACTCTACTCTTCACCTGGTCCATATCCCTCAAGACTGTGAATCCCACCAGGGCACGATCACTGCAGCCCAGGCTGCCACCAATCTTGACCTCTCCAATAAGTTCCTCTGCGTTGGTGAGCAACAGGTCTACTAATGCATCTCCTCTGGTTAGGCTTTTTATCACCTAGATTAGGAAGTTATCCTCAATGCACTCCAAGAGTATTCTAGACTGCTTGCAGCTTGCTGTGCTGCTTTTCCAGTTGATGTCAGGGTGATTGAAGTCCCCTAGCAAGAACAGGGCCTGCAAGTGTGATGTTTCCTGTAGTTGAAGTAGGAACGCTTCATCAACATCCTCCCCTTGACCAGGCAGCCTGTAGTAAACACGAACCACGAGGTTTCCTTTGTTGGCTTGGTCTCTAATTTTCACCGATAAGCTCTTGACCTGTACACTGCTGTTTTCCAAAGACAGCTCTGTGCAGTCAATCCATTTTTTTATGTAGAGGGCAACCCCTCCACCTTTTCTTCCTTGCCTGTCGCTCCTGAACAATTTATAGCCATTGACTACAGCGCTCCTATCATGTGAGTCCTCCCACCAAGTTTCAGCGACAGTGACCGGATCGTAGCTTTCCAGCTGCACAGTGGCTTCCAGCTCCTCCTGTTTGTTATCCATGCTGCATGCATTGGTATATAGACACTTCAGTTGGACTGCTGACACTCACCTTTTTGGTGGAATCTTTTTGGAGGGTTAGGGTCATTCCTCACTACTCCAGTAGGTACGTTCATCCACCCTGGTGCCTGTGAGTACACTAGCGTCACAGCTTTGCACCCCAACCCCCAAGTTTGCTAGTTTCAAGCGTGATTCACTGTCAGCCAGTCTGCCATCAATACTTTATGATCTCTCCCAGCATACAAAGTAGGAACAACAGGTGAAAAACTGGTAACTAGTTCGACATATACAAAAAGATATGACACTTCACATCACAGGCAATTAAGCTGGAGGCTCAATACCACAAAACATTGTGAATGCTAAAGATGCCCAGTTACTTTCTGAACCACATAAGAAGTTCGTGGAAAAGAGCAGTCCATGGATAGAAACTCAAAAGTCCCCAAATCACTTTTGTTGCATCTCTGCATGACCATTCTGTTCTCCTAGTATTTCTCAGGTATCTGATACTGGCTGCTGGTAGGAACAAAGCACAGACCTAGACAGAATGCTTTGAGTGGTCTAATACAGCAGTTTCTGTGCACAGAGATACATGTATCACTGACCAAATTATTAGTGCACTTTGAGCACAGTGCCCCAAAACCTGAACCAAAACAGTGTCTTCGGCGGGACAGGAAACAAATGAAGTGCAGAAAGAGGGAGGGGGCAAAAGAAGAACGGTACTTAAAAATAAATCACCTCTCTGTTTTCCATGTGCCTTAGCATAGTTTCCAAGAGGATCTTGCCAGGCACAGAGGTGAGACTGACTGGCCTGTAGTTCCCCGGGTCTTCCTTTTTTCCCTTTTTACAAATGGGGGTTATGTTTCCTCTTTTCCAGTCACTGGGAACTTCATTAGTCTGCCACAACTTTTCAAATATGATAGATAGTGGCTTAGCAACTTTATCTGCCAGTTCCCTCAGGACCCTCGGGTGCATCTTATCAGGTCCCAT